AACCGAGGAGCTAAGGAGCAGTAGTGTTCTCACCGAACCACCGACTCTTTATTTTTGTGCCGTGATCTTCCAGATTCACAGGGTGTTGTTTCAGATTGGTGCCCACAGACTTAGCTAGTGAGCCCAGATTCCATCACTCTCATCGCCCGAAAGGGTATGCTTGCGGATCGACAAGCCGCCCGTCGGAGGCGAGGAGATTTGTAACGATTTCGATAGATCCATCCACCCAACGACACCATCTCCACCAGGCCCGACGCCTGCTCCTCCGGGTCCGACACCTGACTCGAATTCGAATCGCTGCATCAAGTTCATGATTGGATACTCAACCCTGTCATCATTCTCGTTTCTCGTATCCGGCATCATCTCACTGATCAGATGGATTAGGAAGAGGAGAGAAAGCTCCTGTGCGAGTTTGCCGGAGCCACCCACGGGGGGGCAAGACGGTCCGTACTTCGATACTACGGAGCCGATCTGATATGGCATGTTCTCTCGTACCTATGAATTGAAATTTATTGTCGCGTGAAAATCGAATGATTCCGACAAAGCTTCGCGATCTCGGTTGCATCGAAAGCAGAAATTGAAATGTCGAACAATTCGGATTCCTTGGCCGTGAGATGAGTCGGGACGCGAGCGTGAACTCCGAGGAAAACACAGTGCTGGTTTGCTCTTGAAATGCAAACACGAAATCGAGAGAAGCGACGACAACGATATCGGCGGATATCGAGATCAACGAAATTCGGAGCCTTCGTGCTAGACGAAAGGTCTGGTCGAGGGATCGATGACCTAGTTGCCATCCCTCCAACTCGCAATGGCAGCTCTCGTGGAAAGAGAAAAGTCGTATTCGGAAACATTCTCACTCGATGAATTGGTCGAATCGAACGGGTTCAGAGTCGTAGCGATTGAGAAAGGTTGTCCAGTCGTGAGAACGGAGATATCATTCGTGGAGCTCGTCGATGAACCGACCGTGGAGAAAGCGACTAAGGTGATTGCGGTCGTACTGGAAGTATGATAATACGCCATGGTGGAGCGAGTGGATTCAAACATTGGCGTGGTGGTTTTGTAAACTAGACTCGTAGCGGAACGAGTGATGCTTTGCCGGCGCCAACTAGGTGAAGAGGAGTGTCACAGATGATAAGATGAGTCGCAGTGGATAAGGGTGAGTGATGAGTAGTGCTTCGAAACGGACTGCGTGTTGATGTTGGAACATCCGCAGCGGAGTGACGGGTACCCGACTCACGAGTGACGGATCTTCGGGCGTCTGGTAATGGATGGAGCGGAGCATAACTAAGGTAACGAGATTGCACTGAAGGAATAATCGATGAGTCAAATATCTGAGATTCCGCGGATTTTGAAGTTGTAGAAAGCTGAGGAATATTCGTAGAACTCGATGAATGAGTCGAAATGATATTGGAGATGGAATCGGTGGATTCACTGGCCACGATGAATCCGATTGCCGTCAAAGGAAACTCAACTAAAAGGATGAAAATTAGGAACGATAAATCCTCGGAAAACTCAGACATACCGGTATATACGGAGATCACGGTTATTGATAATAATAATAATAACTCCTTTATTCTTAAAGGGGGGGCGTCGGAATAAATTATATAGGTGTGACACGAGAGGCGTAAAGCGAGTAAATGGCAGGAACATCGGCTTTGCGGAGATGTCTAGAGATTCTCCATGGGAACAACTGAATAATCCTCTCCGTTTTGGCGATGAATTTGGGCTGGATACTGCATTTGTTTCTGAGGTTATTGGGTCTGATGTCAAAGAAGTGGTGGAGGAGATCAGCGCGGTAGAGTTGGGACAGAACTTTGAGATCTGACTTGAGTAGGAGATCAGAGAGGGTGGGTAGGACAATATTCTCGGTAC